GCGTCATCGGAAAATCTTGGGATATCAGACGAAGGCGGTGGGCGGGGGACTTCACTTCCAGCGAAAGGATTGCCGGACTTAACTTTTGGAAAAACTCCAATATTTACCAAATACCAAAGGCAAAGGCACAGAGAACTGCACTTTGTTCAGCACTTGGCCAGCAGTCGAAAAGTCAAGTCTGGTCTTCGGGATTTCACCAGTAAATTAACCGGCTGAGCCGGCAAAGAGCGGATCCAAAAGTCATTAAAGGTAGACCCATCCGAAGGGGATTAGTTGTTGCTCTCTTTTCAAATACTTAAGGGGGGGTAAGGTTTTAAACATTTTTTTTACATTTTTTTTTTTTTATTTTTTTTCTGAATGACCAATGTGTCGAGAACATTGTGTAGAAATTTTGAGTCAATTAAAGTCAAACTAACAGAGTTACAGCGTTTTAAACAACCGTATTTAGACGTATTTTCACGTATAAAAATACTTTGAATCGATTTTGCCGAAGACGCTATTTTGAAAGTCGGTGAACATCAGAACTCAAAATCTACTGATCCGATCCTTTTTAAATTTTTAACACAAATTCTCAACATAAATCCGCAGGTAATCAGGAAGAGATTTTTTTAATTTTTAATTTTTTTCTATTTTTAAAAAATAAATTAACAGCGATTTTTTAAGCTAAAATCGCACTTTTTACTTTCAAGTGCTCCCAAAAATAGACAAAAAATAAATTTAAAAAAATCTCTTCCTGATTACCTCGGGAAATTCATTATCTTTACAACGCATATCACATTTTATTTTTAAGATGATCCGTTAACGCCTTATGATGTTCACCGCAAAACAACTTTTTCTTTGGGCGCTTCGGAAGATTAACCGCCACAGGCGTATTTCTTAATATTTTTTAATAATTTTTTTTTTCTAATACTCTTCAAAAGTTAAACAATAACATGTAATTAAGCTCAATAAAATAAATTTACTCATTTCGCCGCAAAACAAAAATCAAACATGGCCCTTTTTTTGGCCTTTAAAACCTTACCCCCCCCTTAAGGCAAAAACTTGCACAAACTGAATTTGATTGTATTTATTTTTAAATAAAGTAAGCTCACGCAAAACAATAAGTTTCTTTGAATATTTAGATCTTTTATATAACCTTTTCCTCAAGCACAAAAAATAACGTTTTATAATACATTTAAAATACAGTTAAGCCTAACAAATCAAAAATACGGTTAGGATAATAATATACTGTGAGTTTCCAAATCCGCTTCCTTTACCCAAAAAGTTCATTGTTTTCATTATTTTTACTGTTAGATCCCACTAAGCATTAAACCCGTTTGAACAGCCCCCTTTTTTCAGTTATTCGTTTTCCGCATCACGCGATTCCTTCGTTTTGCCCTTATAAAGTCGCTCAGCCACCCAACCTAAAAAAATACAAATTCGACACAAAAACAAACGCAAAACGAAACGAAGACAACAGCCTCGAGAAGAAGAGGAGAAAAGTGTATTTTTGCATTGTTTTTTTACCTGTTGCTAAATTTAGAATGTCTGTCGTCGGGTATTTGCTGACGTTTGTGTCGAAAAATTAAGCCTTCTGCCGCACGAAAAAAAAAGCAACGAAAAGATACCCCACCCAGCCGACCCCCTCTAACAGTGCCCTCCCTTCCCGAAAATGAAATTCTGGGCAAAATGCGTCGTTACGCTTAATGAGTAATAAAATACTTTGCACAATACGTTGCGGCGCAATGTGGGGGAACAAATTCGAGTGCCGGCCCACTCGCACGCATTCTGCTTCTCTCCCTCTCTCTCTATCTCACTTCCCCGGTCTGTTATCCACCCACTCGGGCTTGCCAAAATTTACAGCGCCATAAGCTGCAACAACAACAGCCCCAGAATACTCACAGAAAATTTTGAGATCCAATATTATGTCATTACAATCTGTTGAATTTGCATAATCTGAAGTAAAGTATTTATTGTTAAGTGTTTCAGCTTACTAGGTCAATTGCTACGTTCTCTACTTTAAGATTAATTGTTCTATATAATATTTATCTAACCTTCGCCTAGATATTCCATTCGTTGTATTTTTACATATCTGTCTAACGATTAAAATACAATAATGAAGTGCTTTTTCATAAGTAATTTAATGTGAACTCTACCTTTTTCAATGACTTTACATTTTCATTTCATTTTTTATATCAACATTTATATCTTCATAGATAATACAAGACTAAAATCTTACCTGGACAATACCACACTTAATAACATTTTCCCCCAGTGCAAAAGCAAGTGATCGCGCAAATGTGGCGCGCGTTTTTAACAGCGTTGGCGATTTTTATGGCGTTTTAATCGCGAGAGTGGCGTGCGCGGCTAGAAATTTATTTTCGCCGCGGCCATGGAGCCTCCGCTCTCGCTCTCTCTCACTCACTCTCTCACATAACAGTGGCTCCCCCTCCCCTTTCACCCAACACCCAGCTCTGTTATTTTTAGTTACATGCTGCTGTTGCGGACTAAGTGACTTAAAAGCGGCGCGTGGGTGATTCTGTCGCTGTTAAAAGTCGCGACGTCGCTGTTAGCCAAATTCTGCGATCACCGATCATTACCAAAAAAAATTTGAGGGCTCCCAGGGATTACGGGGGGCGACTTTGGGGGATCTGGCGCTGTCTAAATTTAAACGCAATTAGCAATGCGCACATTTCTGTGTGCTTGCGCCTTTCGACTATAAATTTTTGCCACAGTTTATTTTAGACGCTGCATGTGATCGGGTCCGCCAAAAAAACAACAACAATGGAGCGTCAAATTGGGCGTTCAGCGCACAAACAACTGCGAATGTGTCTGTAAATGTATTTGTATCTTTAGCATTGTATCCGTGAGATACATCCACACCTTTGGCTGTTTTTGGCCAGCGAGCATGATGTAAAACGCCGCCAACGTTTTCCGATCTCTCGTTTTGTTTATTTTGTTTTTTCGTTTATTTTTTGTTTTGTTGCAATTAAATTGGCATGCACAAGTGCCGCCTCTGCCACCGCCACCGCCACTGCCGCTGCCCTCTGCCGCAGCCGCAGCCGCAGCCGCCGCCTCTGCCGACGCTGACCGCGGGCGGGCCGCCTTTTGATCGGTTGCCAAATTGTAATTGGAACGCGAAGGTGTTGTCGACGTCCGCCTGTATATATATTGCCATAATGCCATATTGCCGACTTCTCGGCACAACAACAACCTTCTCGTGCGACCACAAAACGCACAACACCACAACACTAGACGGCCCCCAGAAATGTCAGAAATTCCCCAAATATTTGTGGATTTCACAAATCGTTAAGCATGCATAGTTGAAAAACGCCTTGGTGGTTTTTCCTAAAGGAAACCAAAACTGTTATTTTTCACTTTTGAATGAAGTCTTATCAATTCCTAGAAATACTAATTTAATTTTCTTTGCAGACTCATATCTTTTTTTCTCAAATATCTGTGAACTGCCTTGACTCATCTGCTTCAAAGTCATTTTAATTAGTAGACGGCATTTCCAGCTAAATATTCTTAATTTTCTATCTGTTGACCAAGAGCAAACATAAAAATTGGTAAATGCCCCAGAATAATCATCTATTAAGTTGTGGTTAAAGATTCTCAGTTTTCAGAAAATTCGATGACGTACTTTGCAAATAATAAGCAGTTGAATTTGTTATACGGTTTTCACAAATTTTCCCCCTAAACCTCAAAACCAACGTCATTTACCCATAGTAGATCATGTAAGCCAAATATCTGTCAAATCATATGACTGCTCTCATCCTTAACTATATAATTATCCACTAAACTTTTTAGACAAAGATTATTAGTTCTCAGAACTATAACAATATTTTAGGAATAATTAGGAGCCCAAGCAGTTACTTAAAATTTCACTTTCCTCTCGAAGTGCGTCATTCCCCTAATTTATAACTATACTTAAAGCCCATTATCTATCATCTCCACATTCACTGATTTTCTTCCACCTGAACCTTATACTTAATAATTAAAATCCAATTTCCTGCTTTAGATTCCCTTGTTCTGGCCAGAGCATTTCCCCAAGTTTCTTTCGATGAATGAATGGTTATTCTTGTCCGACTTGCTGCCAGCCAACTTTTCCTTGTAGTGGCGTGTAATTACAGCCAACCTTCGATAAGTCATTATGCCGAAAGAGGGGAAAAAAAGCGAAAAACGTGAAAATCCAGCGATGCACGTAGAAGCCATCAAACTGAATCTAAGCGTCGGGCGGCGCACGTGTGATCCACGGCAGCCTTGCTCATAACGATTTCCATTTCATTTAGCTCGTCGATCAAAAACCAAAAGGGCGACCTTCACTTAATTGCGGCGCACGGCATGGGAAATGAGTCTAGTCTACATACCCCGGGTGAATAGTCTGGAAAAAGGGGGAGGGGGATGGGTGTAGGCCACCCAAAACCACCCACTTCCGCCTGGCGTGCGCGCAACCTTGTGATCTTGTTTACTGTTTAGCGACCCCCGAACAAACAGCTAAAAAAAGCGAAACAGAAAAAAAAAAAAAACAACGAAATATATATCTCCGAACCTGTCGCACTGGGGTGGCGTCATATCGCCAGCTATTTTCACCTTCTATGGGACTTTGTCGCCGCGTTGGCCGCATAAGTCGGTGACTCAGTGGATCGGCGGCAGTGGTACAAGCGCTGAACCACCGGAGACCGGGGACCGCACCACATCGGAACCACAGCCTCTTGTGAATCCCTCGTCTCGCCGAAAGAAGCGAGCGATCGCCAGTGGGGCTTTCGCAGTGTGATTTCCAAAAAGGAAGAAATGCCCGTTTTGCGGCCGTCAAGGGGGCGTATGAGTAACGCGCGGGGTGGACGTACGACGCTTAGGTACCGCTCACGAACACCAGCGGGCAGGTAGCACACACACATACTCGCACACCTTCGCTAGGTAGCCGATAATGCCTGGTGGCTTTGTGTGTGTGCGGTCGTGTGGCTCACGCTCGCGTCTCGCAGCAGCGATTTAGCCAGCGAACCTGTCGATCAATCGTCAGTCGTCCGCCGAGAGCCCAGCGATAAGGTAGTCCCGCTACGCTCCGCCAAGTCCCAGACCCAGTAATATATATATAGCCACTCGCACACACACACGCATATATATATTCCCGAGCAGCCGAACGATCGATCTTCCGCTTCGTGCCGAGTCGCTTCGGTCTTTTAATCGCACTGCAGCCAGAACCTGCTGCTCATTCGTTTGCCGTATTTCGCAGCGTGCGGTTCTTTTAGCTCCGCCATCGAAAAAGAAATCTGAAAACCCGCAACCAAAAGCAAGAGAACTCCCAGCGTTTTACGTGATTCTCAGCGAACGCTGCGCGAAAGTGAAACCACCAAGTGAACTTGAATAAGTAAATCTACCAAAAGAACAGTGAACTCGCAAATAGAGCGCAGCAAAGCCAAATTTGCTGCCAAAGTGAAAACCAAACTGTGCCTCAAACTCAAGAAACAATTTCTGACCGAAATGGTTACCGGCGTTACCGCAGCCAACATGACCAACGTTCTGGGTACCGCCGTTGTTCCGGCCCAGCTCAAGGAGACGCCGCTCAAAAGTGACCGTCGGGTAAGTGTCTTCCCCAAAAAAAAAAAAGAAAAAAATCTGAAAGAGGGGGGCCTCCAATGGATTAAATCAGCAGTCAAATATTCCCGGAAAAAAATGGATTAAATAAACCGAGAATTCCCTTAAACGAGAGCCAACCACTTCGAGCTCGAATTGATTTCCAAACGCCTTGTGGGCGACGCGTTGCGGCCCCATCAATCCCGGTGCCCAAATGCATTTCCTTTTTAGCCATCTCCCACATGCGGCTAAAACACTCACTCCAAGCCAGACCAAAACCAAAAACAGACGCCGTCGGCGCGCCAACACAAAGCGAATTAATCGCGCGACGCGTTGGTGGCATTTACTATATGGCATATACCTACTACAATACTCGATCCATTCATGAGTGCCGCCCAAAATTGGCTGGCGGAGCTGCCCACCAGCTCCCCGCTTTTGGCTTCCATTTGGCGCGTGCGTCGCGTGGTCGCTGCAATTGTCGGTCATCAGCCGCCGCTTTTGGCCAACCGGTTCACTTCGATTTGGGTTTTCGATTTGGATTTGGCCAAGCGCAAAGCTGACTTCATCCGTTGCCAAATTTGGCCGGTGCCCCCTAGAGATTTTTGGGCCTAGGCGCTTCTTGGCTTCTTGGCATCTTCGAATTTCCCGCTCTCTGACCTTGCCGCTCTCGTCGTACCTGGGCGATTTAATTATAGCCACCGCCTGTAATTTATAGCCGCCAAACTATTTTTAAGATCGCCTCGCCTGAGTGGCGCTATAAATAGAGCACGCGCCGTGCGACTAAATTTGGCCGCCAGCCAGTCAATCCGTTCCCCAGTCCCCCAAGTCCCCCCAATCTCCATCCGATCGAAGACCCATGCAGCTTCCTCTATTTTTGGGTCGCTGCATGAGGTCAAATTAGCCATGCAAAAGCCGTGACTAATCGCCGTTTTTTTCCTTTTTCTTGCCTCTTGCAGTCGAACAAGCCCATCATGGAGAAACGCCGACGCGCCCGCATTAACAACTGTCTCAACGAGCTCAAGACTCTCATCCTGGATGCCACCAAAAAAGACGTAAGTATTTTTTACAACAAATTAAAAGTTAATAAAAGGGAAGCTGGAAACAAGTAGTTAATTAAACAGAATAAATACAACAAAGTAAATAATTTAAAAAAATAAATACAATTCTCAGAAAACATTGAATTCAAACTGATTAACTTTCTAAAATATAAATTTTTTAAAGCATATATTTTTTTATTTTTCTTGAAATAAAAACTTTTCAACTTAAACTAATTTCACAATTATTTTCTCTCTACTTTTAGCCGGCTCGCCACTCCAAATTGGAAAAGGCCGACATTCTCGAGAAGACAGTGAAGCACCTGCAGGAGCTGCAGCGCCAGCAGGCCGCCATGCAACAGGCCGCCGATCCGAAGATCGTCAACAAATTCAAGGCCGGCTTTGCCGACTGCGTGAACGAGGTTAGCCGCTTCCCCGGCATCGATCCCGCCCAGCGGCGCCGCCTGCTGCAGCACCTGAGCAACTGCATCAACGGCGTGAAGACCGAGCTGCACCAGCAGCAGCGCCAGCAGCAGCAGCAGCAGCAGTCCATCCACGCCCAGATGCTCCCCTCGCCGCCCAGCTCCCCGGAGCAGGACAGCCAGCAGAGCCAGGCGGCGGCCCCCTACCTTTTCGGCCAGATCCAGCAGACGGCCAGCGGGTTCTTCCTGCCCAACGGCATGCAGGTGATCCCCACCAAGCTGCCCAACGGCAGCATTGCCCTCGTGTTGCCCCAGAGCCTGCCGCAACAGCAGCAGCAGCAGTTGCTGCAACACCAGCAGCAGCAGCAGCACCAGCAGCAGCAGCAGCAACTCGCCGTCGCAGCAGCAGCGGCGGCAGCAGCAGCGGTCCAGCAGCAGCAGCAGCAGATGGTTGTGTCCATGCCACAGCGGACCGCCAGCACCGGATCCGCCAGCTCGCACTCCTCCGCCGGATACGAGTCGGCGCCCGGGAGCAGCAGCAGCTGCAGCTACGCCCCGCCCTCGCCGGCCAACTCCAGCTACGAGCCGATGGACATCAAGCCGTCGGTCATCCAGCGCGTGCCCATGGAGCAGCAGCCGCTGTCGCTGGTGATCAAGAAGCAGATCAAGGAGGAGGAGCAGCCCTGGCGGCCCTGGTAGAGGCTCTCCCTTCGAAAGCCCCGCCAGTGAATCTCCCGCTTTTAAGACTGATCCCCCCGGAACTCACACACACACACTCATCCTAACTCACCTATACACCTACACACACACATGCGCAGGCGTTGTTGTGCGCATGCGCGTTGACATTTCACCTCATTCGCCGGGATAACGCAAATGTTGCTTTGAAGTGCCGCAAACATGCGAATCCTTAAAGGATCCTCCACTTCGTCGGTTTCCCTGGAAATCCATCAGCGAGGTTAGGGATCTCCATCAAACACACCAACACACACACACACTCGTTGTTATAACTTATTTATTATTATTATGTAATCGATTCGAGAACGGTATTCTACCAGGACATCGCCAAACTACCTCAGTCCAAGTACTTGGTGTTGAATTGCCTCATGTATCATGTATTACTCTTTGAATAACAGCAAATCAGCAAAAGTCTTCCACAAACACACACACACACACTCACACACACACACTCGATAAAGAAAATCACACGAAAAACACTTGAAAAGCTGAAATACTTTTTATGAAAAAGATAAAACGCAAAACATAACTCTTACATTTAGTTTGTACATCTCCATTTAAACGTAGATTTTGTACCATAGTCGCCTAGGATTTTCTCTCGCCTTAAGTCTAATCAAAGAATAATTATATTTATAAACACACACACAAAAAACTATTCGTAAGGCCACGTGATATAGTGAACATAATGAGCTCTAAGAAAACAAAACAAGAATTTGATGCAGACCAATGCAAAAAAATCAACAAGAAAAGAAAAACAAACAAACAACATACTAAAAAGAAATAAAATTATAAAATTCTACTAAAAATCAAATACGCAAAAGAGAGTTGTTATTCGGTTGGGACTTCTATTTTTCTTGATTCTGGGTGAAAGTTTCCTTTTTTTTTTTCGTTTTGGAGGTCAGGCGCTCAGAATGCAAAGAAAGACGAGCTACTTATCGAGCCCCCTCGACGTATCGCTGCAAATTTCAACGCTAATTATAATGCCCATGGTGAAATACATTCGACGGAGAGGATCGGCGGGAAGTGGCACGATAATACTATATAATATAACTACGTTTTAGGGGCTCGATTGCTGTTCTCGCTAATGTAATCAGCACGACGGGTTGAAGGTCGTTTTGCGGTTAAACCGAAACGGATAATATCCCGCCTTGGTTTCTGCACATCCGGACTGCGAGTGCTGATAAGACAGCAATTTTCGAAACAGTCATAATGAAAAATCCTTTGTTTTATAGTATTTCACAGTATTTTGAAATGCGATTATCAATTCTTGAGTTCAAACAAAAAGAACTTTCGCAACAGTTTTCTTTAAATGTATTAACCCTAAATACCTTTAGCTGTCGAGTCAGCAACTTCTAAGGGATATGGTATTTCAAGAGCTTTACCAATGAAATCACAGGGAAGTCGATCCGGTTCGCGTTAGCTGGAACTCAATCGGATATCGTGCCTATATGAATGACTGATAAGCTGGGAATATGCCATTACTATAGTGTTTCCTTTCCGCGGAATTCCCCTGGAAATATCCACTCTGCTCCAGTGAGCTGCATATATGTAACAGCAGCAGGGAAATCTGTTGCCTAGGCGGAGTCACGCCCCTTAATCCTCATATAGCACCACTTTAATCTGAGCGAAAACCCGAGGCTGTTTAAGCGTCATGCTGCTCGTGACAAAAGTTTCCGCGAAGTCTGCGGAAAAAATACCGCATCATGCTGATAATATGAGAGCGATAAAGCGGATAAGTAAATAAATTTGTTTTCCATCTGCTGGTGAATCAGGTGCACAGAGCAGGAATCACGGGATGGATTCTCGATGCATCTGGAGGCACAGCTCCCATTCGCCGGATGACTAGAAGCGATTCACAAATCCATCTCGTGCGGCCTCAAAGTCCAGGGAAAATGTCGTTACAAAAACCTATAAAGATTGCAGTGGTTGCATGTTCTGGAATCAAAACAGTACAGTGGAAACACGCTTCGAGAAAAGTCCAATTGGCTGATTGGGTGGTTCGGTGGTTCGGTGGTTCGGTGGCGAAGTGCAACTGGTTAGTCACTGATCCGCGGACTTTCGGCCCACCGATGAGTCATCCTCCTCCTCTGTCTAGCTCGAAATAGCTTAACAAATGCGTACCAGTATGTCTGCCAATTCACAACGAAACCCCCTTGAAGAAATTAAACAACGCACCCATTGAGTCACCATCGTTTGCCTTAATTCGCTAAATCTGGTATTTTGTAGGCCTGCCTTCAGCAGAAATCACTGATTAAGGCAACGCAAATTACCCTGTTTGCCGATGGTTTTGGGATTTTATAAATATATTACCACATGACTAATGAAAGTATGTCCCGATTGCCAAGGGCGCTTCAATCAGAATGGAATGTGAATATTTTCCATCGAACAACAAGGAAGATAATACTCCGGATTCATTTTATATTTACACAATGATAACATTTTTCCCATCACAATTATTAATAGCATTCCAAATGATCTAATGGCAGAGTAATTCTATTCCTTTCCTATCTAAAAATGAAATAGAAAACTGAAATATGATGAAATTAAAGTGCTTGAAAAGGGTATGATTAAGTATTGTTTTTTTTTGTTACTAATAATTTCGTTCTAAGTTTCTTTCTTATATTATTCTTGAGATTTATCTTGAGATTGGCATGTTGTTTTTCTTACATATTCGAAGGAAATAGGTACCTCGCACTTAAGTGTTCGCCATAATTCAAGCGTGCTACCTAATTTCCAGTTCCCTGTGCAAATTGCGATTTGCATAGCTGCATTCCTCGGCCGGCGGAGTCAGAATGTCGTGTGGTTTTCGGTTCTGCTTGGAAGTCGGTGGTCCTTCAATTTGATCTGCTTTCGGCACCGCAACGAGTCGCTCTGGGAAATGAATTCGCCACAGTTGCGCACAAATGAAATCGAAATTAAAGAACATCAGGGTTTTAAGTTCTCGTAGGTTTTCTTTGGCTGCGTTTGGTTCGGTAAGGGGTTTGGTGGCAGTCAGGGTCTGGTACGTGGTGGCGATATTTGAGGCTATTCGCGACTGCGTGGAATGCCGCCAGTCGCCAGTTGTCACGTTTTGCTCTGGCAAATGACCCCAAAATAAAAAAGAAAACAACAAAAACGAAAAAAAAACAAATATAAAACAAAAGCTGTTTGTTTACGACGACTCGTGTAGCATTCCGTGGAATTGTGTGAGGCATGGGAGCACTCCACTCCACTCCACTTCATTCATGGTAATTGAAGACAGCACAGATTTCAGCGAACTGCCGCCGAGATAAGAGGGAGTCAGAATCGCATTCGCAATCGCAATCGCAACCGGAGTCTGCAGCTGGAAATTCGGGGAGTACGCATAAACAAGTTGAATGAACCAAGAATTTCGCGACTCTATTGCCAATTTACTTCCACTTCCACTACCACTTTTGCTTCCCCTGCCAATTGGCAATGTCAAATGCGAGCCAAGTTTAATGACTCGTCTGCCGCCGACTTCTCTTGACACCCGCACTGGCTTTTTGTTTTGCTTCGGGTTTTTGGATGATTGTTTTGGATTTTGGTATTGGTTTTCAGGCTTTGTTTGCTCTATGCGCACTATGGGTTTTTGAACTCGTTTAGCGAGTCTTGGTTATTTTTCGCATTCGAAATGAGCGCGAGTCCCGTGCCGTGGGGATCTCGGAAATGTTAGGAGCTATTGAACCACACGCCGCGGTTCAAGGAGACCGACCGACCAGATTCTAGCTGCTAACTGGGCCTAAACACAGTTACAGAGACGCCGGCAAGGTCGTTTGGTTGTCTGGTTTTAGCCGGTTGTCTCGCTGGCCGAAAGACGTGCTCCGCATAGACAAGCGGCGGAATCGAATTCGAATTCGGTGGCTTTGACATTCAACTCGCTGGCGGCGGTTCAAGTGGCATAGACCGCCGCCGAAAGCCACCGCCAAACCACTCCCCAAAACCACTGAGCAAGGTCAGTTCTCCACGGCGGCTAACTAACCTGAACCACCATTTCGTTCACCCACTTACATTTTACACTGCGTCATTAAAAAGCTTGGAGCGCTGATGGCACGCCAGCTATTTACACAGTCTATCGAATAGCTGATAGGGGAATTCACAACACCTGACTTCTGGTGGAGGGAGCCACCTTATCACCTTGGGCGGCACGTGACCACCGAATTCGGTGGTGCGGTGGTGCGGCGGCTCGCAGGAATTTCCCTCGAGCAACCTGATCGGTGGTCATCGGATCTTTGGGGGTGGGGCTGACTTTACCGGAATCCCAGCGAAACTTCATGTAAATAACAACCCAATATATTCCCAATTTATTCCTATGTACAGCTCAAAACGCGCAGAGAGAAAAATATATAATCTATACCATCAATAACTAAGTAACAATAGAAACATTTTAATTTTAAATTTGAATAGATCATGCTCTGATAGTTCGGTGTTATGAATTTTATACCTTGAAGATCCATAAAGCAACCCTTTTGAGATAAAAATGTTATCTGCGTCGTAAGCTAGCACTTTTTTAAGGTCAGCCAATGCCCTTAAAAATGATTTAGATATTATTAAATGGATTTCCTATTCAAGAAGCATCATTTCAAATCAAAATTCAAATTCAAAATCAGCAAAATCATTTCAAATTCAAAATCAGCAAAGGAAACAGTTCCGGCCTCTCGAAAATATTCCTAAAACGTTTTAATTTTTCTTAGAAAAAATCAAAATAAAACAAATCCGGTTGTGGAATGTTAATTTTTCTCAGTGTGCTCGTTTGCAATTTGATTTCTGTTTTTGTTTGCATTCTGTTTTTCAGTTGTGTTCCGAGCTGTTCGATCGCATTCACTTACAGGCCGCGTGCATAGCAAACTGCAGGCCACGCAAAATATTTCACTCAAATAAATATAGCCGTTTATTTTGGGAAATTGAAACAAGCAATGCCAAGTGGGAAAAAGTAAATAAATAAATAAGGCAGCGAATACCGCAGCGGAACCCACTCGAATCACGTTTTCTGTCACGCAGATTGAGTTCTTTCAATGAAACGGATTTGGATGGAAATGGCGCAGTACGGCGACTCCACGCCTCTATTGCCGCCTTCTGCACCACTCGGTGGTTGACTTATCAAGTCAAGTGGCGGAGAAAGACAGATAGAGTGCTCTAGGTGTGGGTTAAGTCCAAATAGGGCTACTGAATGGCCAGCTTCTGTTTGAAGGTGGTGGTCAGCGTTTGTTATGGTCTATACCATCTGATAAAGTGGATCCGATTTGAGTGTTAAATTTGCCAAAATTCCTAATAGGTCTATTAACATTTACAGTCTTTGAAAACACTTTATCTTTACCTGTAACAAATAACATGGTAAAGAAATGATGGTCATATGGCGAGGTATAAATAAAAATATACACATAGGAAGAAATTCCTCAACATTTGTAAATCTTTTTAAAACACAAAGAAAAATATTTCTTCGTGTTTAATGAAGGGATTTGTAAGAGAGTTATCAATTGATCTGCGTGAATTGCAAAACTAAACTGCTTATTATATACAACCGCTTTCCCCTTATAAATCAAAAGGTGGCTATTTCATAATAATTGAAATAAGTTCTCCCAGAATAAGTGTTCTTCCCCCAGTTCGTCTAATCTCCCTAGTGTTTGACTACGGGAAATCGCATTACTTATTAGCAGGCACTTTCAAACAGGTGTCTAAGCTCCGTGGGTTTATGTGAAGCGCCGTCAATCTTATCGGTGTCGCACTGTCGGCAAACTAAAAACATAAGCCGGCGCGACTTTGCAACTCGTGCCAAAGGTGCGCGTGCCAA